TTACTACAGTTTACACATCTGGTATCTGTGTAAATTGAAAGAGACAACATTTTTGATGTTTAAGTCACCTGTGGCAGCATTTTTTTCTTTGCCAGATTTCATGTGAGAAGTATATTTCTTCTATTGCTTATGTGTTTTCTCTTTTATTTAAATATATTGGTCCGCAGATTTAACTCAGTGGTTCCGCCACCTGCCTTGTAAGCGCAAGGACCTGAGTTCAATCCCCGGTACCACAAATTAATTGATTAATTAATTAACTTAGGCGAGGGATTTAGCTCAGGGGCACTGCATCGCCTCACAATTGCAAGGTCCTGAGCTCGATCCCCAGTACCAAAAATAAATAAGTAAAATATGTTAATTTAACTTTGCTTGCCTGGTTGTGAGTCTCGATTGGCCCAATTCGCATTGCTGGGGCTGTGTCCTTCCTTCAAGTTAGCCACGAGTGCGTGCGTCTTACTGCGGGAAGCACACTCTTAGACTGGCAGTGCACCGCTTGCCGTTCAGGGTCCCCGCTCTGACTCCCCTCGTGTCTTCACAGCCCATCCTCGAGGGCTCGGTGGCCATCGGCTCCGGCCTCTCCTGGCACCGGACTCTCCCGCTGTGCGCCATGGGAGGAGACCGCAAGCTGTCCTTCTGGGTGACCGAGGTGTGACACAGATGGCGTGCGCACTCTCATTCCTAAAATGCATATTTCTAGTACATATTTTGGAGAATCCCTTATGTTTAAACCAAATATACTGTAAATGTTAGAAATATTTCAGTTGTTGCTTTTGTTAAATAAAATGTTGATGGTTTGAAAAATTATTTTCCTGCTCTGTTGTGTGTAGATACGTACACTTACGCCATTTCGTGTGATTGCACAGTTAACTTTGCAGCTCGGCTGCAGAGACGAGATGGACGGGAAAACTGCGCTTTTGGTTTTGTTAAAGGATTATTCAGAGCGCATTCCGACTCCGGCTTGAGTGGCAGTGGCTGATGTATATCCGCGTCCACGAACACATGTTGTTAGCGGTCTGTGCGTGCCGGCCGTGGTGATGTCCTCGGTACTGCGTTACCCAGTCTAATACCAAAAAAAGACTTGCACCTTCTTTAAAATGCGACCCACTGTGCCCGTTTGCTGCCTAGACTCCCTGCGTCTCGGCTCCTAGAGCGTCTGGAGCGGGGCGGAGGGGCCTTGGGAAGAAGGCTGGTTGCGTCCTTCGCGGCTTCAGCTCTCGCTCTCGTGGGCGCCACTGCTCTAAGCACGGGCCGGGTAGAAGCTGCACTGCGGAAATCAGCCCGCCCTGCTTCGGAGACACCGTGACGGAGTCGGAAAGAGGAGGAAGGACCCCGCCAGGTGAGCAGGGGTACACGCTGCACGTGCCGTCCCTGCAAGGCCGTGCTGTGCTGCCGCACCAAGTCCTGTGCGGTGGGGGTTGAGACCACTGTCTGCAGGGCTGACGTGCGATTAGCGGCGAGTGAAAAGACCTGGCGTCTCCTCCACGCCTTCCAGAGATGTGTTTGTCACTGATTTACTTCAGGCCTGTATAGTTTTATTGTTTTGAGGATATGGGATTATTTCTTATTAATAAAGACAGTAAATATTTTTACTCTATTCATAAAGTACTTTATAAGTGTCTTACAGAATCAAAAATTATCTTTAAAGGATAGTAAAATATTACAGGTAATTAAAAATCAAGTCAGTGAAATTTTGTAATAATGTAGATGTTTGGTGTAAACTATACGCTTTGGAGTACGAGTGAAATACTGCATTGCAGTTTCCACATCAGTTACTTATTTTTGTTTGCGTCCTTGTTTGTTCTGGGGTTTTTTAGATAGGGTCTCACTGTGTAGCTCAGGCTGGTCTTGGACTTCCTGTGTAGTCAGGCTGGCCTCAAACTCAGTAGTGATCTTCCTGTCAGCCTCCTGCATGCCAGAACTACAGGCATGCACCACCTCACCCTAGCCACGTCAGTTATTTAATACAGTAAACTAGCTGTCCAGCGAGATGGCTAACGCCTTCGTAAGCAGGCTTTGGGCTTACAGGGAGAAGCCAAGGGCAGGAGATCTCACTGTGGTCCCTTCCAGCAGTCTCTGAGGGACAGAGCCCTCCAAAAGCATCAGATGGGCCAGAAGGGCCACATTATCACTCGTGACTCCTGTAAAAAGTGTGTCATTTCAGGTTGTATTGAGAAGTCATCCCTTACCCCGTATTTGTGAACCTTGTCGTCTCATACTTGGGAGACGTGGCGTGGGACCCAGAGTGAGGGGCGTCGGGGACGACCGGGAAGATGGGCCTGCTGGGCGCCCTGGCGCTTCCCCAGCACACACGCACCACCTGATGGAGCCAGCCGGACTGCCGCCGGTCCTGCAGGGAAGCAGCTTGTGGGGCCCGGTGAGTACAGTCGTGCCGGAGAGGCAGGGGGCGTCACTCTGCACGGGCCTGGGAGTCCGCTTGAGAGCTCCACTGCGGTGCGGGGAAGCGTCCTAGGGCCGTGAGGCCCGCCCTGCTCCACCCGGTCACACAGGCAGGCTTCTCCAGCGTTCCATTTCACTGTCTTCAGTTTCTCAGAGACACGATGGCAGTCCTTGTCCTTGTAAGCTGTTCTTAGAAATATGCTTGTGTTGGACCAAGACAGGAGGATTAGCTGTCGGCCACTTCTCATGCCTGACACAAGTGCTCATTCATGCTGTGTTTCCTGGTTTTAGGTTTCCATCTTTGTTTATAAATACGTCTAGGAGGGTTCTTCTTCTGTTGAAATTACATTTTCCTCAAGGTTACTTCACTCACAAACATTGTGGAAGGAAAAAAAGCCTTACATATGTGCTAAAATGTGTACTGTTTAAGATTGCTGAAGCAAAAGTCAGGATAGCACAAATCTATGCGATATCCTCTCCTTTCAAAATGACAGGATCTTAAGTCCCGTTTTATTGTTAGGATTTGGCTAGTGTGTTGTGAATATTTCAGAGTTCCCCATGCCGAGACACAAAATCCCACACCCACAGACTCCACTTTGTTTCTTACTTGGATAATTTGTGGCCGCATAGTGACACTGACCTAGAAATGTCCCTGAGGCTGTTTTAAATCTCCTGTCCATGGAGAAGAAATAGAAATCTGGTTTGCACAATCATGTCTGTTTTTTGTGATTATCTAAAATGTGATCTTCTCCCAAGACGCTGAGGAGGGATTTGGGAGACAGAATTGTGCTGGTTCTGGGGACAGGAAAAGTAGTCGCTCCAGACTATGTCCACGGCTCTCCGTAAGTCAAGCCACTGTCACGCAGCCTTCTCCTCACCAGTGAGACCCGCAGACTGGGAATGGCCATCTTGCCAGGTCCCTTCCCGGGGAGCCGGGTGGAGCCCGCAAAGCAGCACGCTCTCCAGTCACCTGTGTGCCCGGGCACTGGCAGGCAGAGGACACTCTGTCCTTCATCGTGACGCCTTGCTGGTTCAGAGACATTTATTTTAGTGGGCATTTGAAAAGCATCTCAAAACAGCTAACTTCCCTTCTAACCGTACATTTTTTATTAGCAAGATTTTAATATATAACGGCCATTTATAGTTACCTAGACATAATAGCACAATAAGCAGGATATGAGCTTGGAAGATCTCACTTCACAAGAGAAACTCGGAGCACGGCCGCATTTATGGTGTGTCCCCGCCCGCGTTCAACACGCGGTTCCTTGGCGTGCATGAACAGTCTCCATGGAAAACCCACAACACGTAATGGATCTTGCAGCCTTCTCGGCTGTTCTTTGAACCGCCCTAGTGGACCGGTTGTTGCTCTTCTGTAGGATTGTGACATTGGTCTGGGAATTCCTGAAGATCCACTGGTTGCAGTTGAACTTAGAATTCTTTGCCTTCTCCACTAATCTTGAATGGACAGGGCACACACGAGCTTATAAGGTCCCTGTGGGCAGTGCTAAGCGACCAGTCACCAGGCTTCTCAGTGAACTTACAGGTCTGTGAAATAATCATTCCCACCCACCACATATACGGCATGGCGTGTCTGTTTCTTTGTAGTAAAGACAGAAAATGCCACTGGTCTCTTTGCTCCTAATGGTGGTTAAGTAAAAGCTTTGATCTTTCTTACAAACACAGCTGTTATCCTGCCATCACGCCTGATCCAGACAAGATTTTGACTCCGGCCAGAATTGAGCATAATCTTTGTAACTATCTCAAGTGAGAGTTTTCCTAATACTCTTTAAGGAAATCTCTGTTTTTGAGACGGCACACAAAGAAAATAAGTCTCAGACAGCTAACCTCAAAAGTAAGCCAGGAGCAACTAATGATAAATTATACTACAGTGATGAAGACGGGGCAGACGGTCTAACCCGAAAAGTTCGTATTGGTTCCTTTATACTTGGACTATAATCGTAAGAAAAGACTTTCATTTCAAGTTCATGTTTAGTTTCACTTGGACTGTTATCTTACATTTTAGCAAATACCTTTCTGCCATCTTTTGGGTTTTTTGTTTTTTGAGACAGGGTCTCACTATGTGGTTGAGACTGACCTGGAACTCATTGTGTAGCCCAGGCTGGTCTCAAACTCACAGTGATCCTCCTGCCTCAGCCTCCCGAGTGCTGGGATTACAGGCATGAGGCATGACGCCCTGCTTGCCGTGGTTATTATTAAGACTACATTTATTCAACATTTAAGGAGATTTTGATATTTATGGAAGGACAGTTCTTAATACCCCCGAGTGCTGGGATTACAGGCATGCACCACCACGCCCTGCTTTCTGCCATTTTAATGTAACGTTTTGTTCTGTCTTCCACTAACAATAATGAAAACTAGGTGCTTATAATTATTATACGATCATTTTGATGGCCAAACTGTCCCCCAAATCGATCCTTCCTCTCTGAGATTTAAGTTCTCTGGCATCTCGAATGCATCACCAAATGTTCCGTCAGGCTGGCCCTCCCGAATCCGTGGCCGTGCTTCCCTCTGTGATGCGCCCTGCTCCCTGAGGACACGCGTGGACATGGACCTGCCTTGTAGTCTGCGGGGTTCCTGGGCTAGGTTTCCCTGGCACTGCACTTGGAGCAAGCACGGGACCCATCAGTGTGTGTGGCTGTGGTGGCGGTCTTTCCCCGTCCTGAGTTCACCCACAAACTCACCACAGCCCAAGCCTATGGAGCAGAACGGATCACATCCTTTTCTGAGCTGTGCGATCTCCTCCCCCTCCTTGGATGCCGGGCACCTGGGAGAATATGGGACAATTGCCTTTCTCTTGAAAGCTTATTCACAGTGCAGTGTCAGAATCCACCTCTTCCTGAGAAACCATGATCTCCTGATGTATCTCCTTCCAGTCAGGCCTGCTCACACGTTTCTGACAGGCAGTAAGCTGGGGTGTCCTGACATCGGCCTGCTCCCACCCGAACACTTAGCAGATTGAGGTAGTGCACCAAGGAAGCCCCCGGGCCTGTTCAGACAGCGTGGCCTTGGCAGGTCCCACTCGGAAGTCCCAGGACTGTACACATGGGCGCCTTGGGCTGAGCCGGGAGCCCGGTAGGAGGCGCTTACTAACATGCGCAAGGCCCTGGGTCTTGGTCCGCTGGACACAGAAAAGGGACGGGGATTCCGCGTCAGAATACCCTGAACCACTTCCTTTGGGGTTCATAACTATGGCGAGCCATTATGGTGAGCCTTGACACAGGCCTAGCCATGATTGAACTTTGAGTCACCTCGCTGGTACGGACATGCTCTCGCCCATAGCCACGGGCGAGTTCAGCTGGTAGCAGATGTAACCCATAATGGTGGTTATTGTTTCCCTCTAGAATGTGTGGGCGGTACCCTTGCTCCCTCGCTCCCGTGCAGCCCTCGCTTCCAAGCAGCTGGAGAGTATAAAAGGGAGAGGTTCTGTAATAAAGCAAGCAAGGAACATGAGAAGAAAGGTGCCTCCCGTCTCTCTGTCTTCGTCCTTTCCGGTTTAGGACCTGCTGGCAGGATCCTGACGTCGCGGCTCGCGACACATAACGTCTGGCTTTGTCTTTTTTTTCCCCACTGTGTGGTACTAGGGGTTGAACCCAGGACCTTTGCACTGAGCCACATCCCCGTGCTTCTGTGCTATGCATTTTGAGACAGGGTCTTGCTAAGACACCAAACTGCCTAACCTGAGCTTAAATTTACAATCCTCCTGCCTCAGCCTTCTGTAATGCTGGATTACCGGTGCCAACGGGCCTGGCTAGCCTGGTCATTTTTTAAAAGGCATAGCAAAAACTCTAACATAATTTTGGACTCCAGAAACAAGACTTCAGGAGGAAATGTTGGTGTCGAACTCATAGCATCCTTTAGTGACCACAGGTGGCTGTAATTCCAAGTAACCGGGCCAGTTTAAGAAGTCCAGGTGCTAAGTGGTTCACTGAAACAGCCAGGCGCGGTAGCACCGTTCACTGCCTCTTATAAATAAGCAGAGCAGGTTACGCTTTGGAGAAGGCAGAGTATTATTAAAGCTAAGCAAAGATTCATACTAGGTCTGCCTCATTTCTACCTCCACCCCCAGGGAGAAGCAGGTCCTGGTGAATCTGAGATCAGAACCATAACTACCAAAGCACGGCAAT